ACCATTGCGCTACTTGGCCGGCCCATACTTGGCTATTTTTTTTCCCACTCATCTGATCCATTTTAGTATTTTCCTGACATACTAATTTTTACTTATTTTTGCATTTAACTTTCTCTCCTCTATGTTTATTTCCCCTTGGTTTGTAGTGTTTGACTTGCGGTGTTTTTTCTTTTTCTTTAACAAGTTCCCCCGTTTTAAATTTGAAGATGTTTTTAAACCTCCATATTTTTCAGATTCTGCCAATTAATTGATATTTCTAGGCTCACACCAATTTTCATCGTGCCATACTCATTTAACCTCTTAGAACACAAATGTCATTGTTTGACATAATAAGAAATTAGTGTTTTTCTTGATTAACTTTTTATCAGAGAGCTAGATAGGCACATTGTTAGCTGGGATGGGGTGAAGGGAGTTATCTACCTAGCTCGCACATGCTGCTGTCTCACCCTCTCTCCTTCCCACCACATTTCTTCACTTTCTCAACTCCCTCTTATCCCCCAAACCCATTCCCCTAGCATTTGCCCTTCATAACAATGAAAAATTGGAAAAGAAAGTTTATACCAGGTCTGACAATTAAGTTCGTGAACTAGCCACTGTGCATGTACATTGGCAGCACTGTACAAACAGCTCGGTAAGGTTTTATAACCTTGGTATATCAGTGTCTCACAGCTGTGTTCGTGTCTACGTGTGGTGGTGTTCTGCTGAGTAGCGTTCATTATTGTGGTGTGTTTTTGTGTGTCGTCATGAGAATGCCTGAGCTTGAATTAGAGCAACAAACAAACATTAAATTTTTTGTTAAACTTGGCAAGAGTGGAAGTGAAATCAGGGACATGTTAGTCCAAGTTGATGGGGATAATGCCATGAGGAAAACAGCAGTGTACAGATGAATTAAATGTTTTTCTGAGGGGAGAGAACGCGTCACTGATGAAGAGAGGTCAGGGCAGCCAGTAATGAGCAGAACTGACGAAAACATTGCAAAAATTCGACAAATTGTATGTGAAAATTGTCGGCTGACTGTGAGAAGCATAGCAGACCAAAGAAACATCAATAGAGAAATAGGAAAACCTCAACTGAAAATCTTAGCATGAGAAAGGTGTGTGCAAAAATGGTCCGGAAGGAGCTCACCGATGAACAAAAGCAAAGGAGAGTCGAAGTTTGCCAACACCTCTTGGAGAGAAAAGACAATGATTTGGGCCGTGTTATCACTGGTGATGAAAAATGGGTGTACCTATATGACCCTGAAACAAAGTGTCAAAGTGCACAATGGAAGTCAGCCAATTCTTCACGACCAAAAAGTTCCGTCAGTCCAAATCAATCCAAATCAAGAGTCTAAACGATGTTGCTAACCTTTTTTGATATCAGGGATTATTCATTATGAATTTGTGCCAACTGGACAAACAGTTAATTAACCAAGTTTACTATCTGGAAGTGCTGAAAAGGCTGCTTGAAAAAGTTAGACGACCTGAACTTTTCGCCAACAATTCATGGCTCTTGCATCACGACAATGCACCAGCTCACACAGCACTGTCTGTGAGGGAGTTTTTAGCCAGTAAACAAATAACTATGTTGGAACATCCTCCCTACTCAGGTAATCTGGCCCCCAATGACTTCTTTCTTTACCCAAAGATAAAGGAAATATTGAAAAAAGACATTCTGATGACATTCAGGACATCAAGGGTAATATGACGACAGCTCTGATGGCCATTCCAGAAAAAGTTCCAAAATTGCTTTGAAGGGTAGATTAGGTGCTGGTGTCGGTGCATAGCTTCCCAAGGGGAGTACTTCAAAGGTGACCATGGTGATTGATATTCAGCAATGAGGTATGTAGCGCTTTTAATAGGATGAGTTTGCAAACTTAATTGCCAGATCTCGTACCTTGAAGGAGAGTTTGGGGTTTCATGTGCAATAGTGTACAACTGCAAGGAGTGATTCCTTCTAAAACTTCTGTTCTTGATGGTCTATATTTTGTGTCTTCCAAGTGAACAAGGACCTACTGCTAAAAAGAACCTCAAGTGAGGCATGACATTGGTGTTTTCACTGTAGTTTTTTAAAAAATCTGTGTATCTCTTTCATAATCTGGAAGGGTTTTTTTGGGAGAAGAGGTCTTATTTTATTCAACTTTTTATCTCTAGCAGCTAACATAGGGTCGGAACCAGTAACAGTAAATGTTGGATTTTTGGGGAGGTGTTTAGTTACTGTCTACCTCATACAAACTTTTCAGGATTATCAGAAAAATTATTTTGAGATGCTTGTCCATTACATTTTTCTGTTCTGGCTTCTTATTCAGTCTTATTCCTTTGCACTTAACCTTTATTTCTACTGCCTAAAAAATCCAGTAATGACTTCAGGGACAAAGTTTATAAACACTTTTGTACTGCTTAGCAACCAAAGTGATTGAGACTTGTACAATTTGAAGTCAGGCGTGGGTTTGAATTCCAACTTGTCACTTACTAGTTATGTGACTGAAGTAAAGTTACTGAACCCCTCCAAACCCGTTTCCTCATCTGTGAAATGAAAAGAACAATACATACTTTCTTATTTTAAAGAATAAACGAGAATGTGTGGACTTAAAGTGCCTGACACGTTTGGACATTAAAATAGTTACTATTTTGGTTCATTAATTGATACTGTTTTTGACTTCAGTTTCCAGGAATATGGATCTACTGGAGCAGCCCATGCTGATAGTGAATATGAGAGAAGAATGATGTCTGTATATAATCATGTCTTGGAGGAGGTGGAATCACTCAGTCGGAAATATACCCCTGTTTCTTATATGGCAAGTGGCACTTGTTTTATTGAGTTTCTATTATGTGGAAGTGGGTTTTTTATCCATTCCTGACACTTACTGAAACTCTGTGACTTCAACAAATTAACTTCTCTGAGCCTCTTTCCTCTTGTAACAGGGTTAATATAGTCCCCACCTCATAGCATTGTCAGGAGGATGAAGTGAGAAGATGATCTGTGGAAGCACTTAGCACATCTGTAGCTGCTCTTAACATGTCAAATCTGCTCTACCAGAATGCAGTTAAAACTTCTTTTTTCTTTTTTAATAAGTTAATTGAAGTTGCAGTTGTTCTCATCCCTGGCTACACATTAAAATCACTTTGGGAGCTTTTTAAAAAATATGTGAGTACCCAGGCCCAACTTCAGACCAATTAATTCTGAACCTGTGCGGCTGAGGCCCAGCCATGAGTATTTTGAAAAGCTCCCAGGTAATGCTGTCATGCCACCAGGGTTGAGAACCACTGGCCAATTGAAACACAAAGAACAGGGCTTGTTATCTGATTGGCAGTAAATCAGTTCCTGCCAGGCGATGCCGTTGATATCTTTCGGTGTACTTGTCCACGTTTAGCCTGCTGATCTCTGCTTTCTTTGGCACTGTCGAGCACTGGCTCCTTATTCAGTCTTCTCCCCTGACTTCCCAGTCAGAGGACAGACTGCCACACTCTCACCCAGATTTTCTCCTCCCTGTCTGGCCACTCTCCAGTGTCTTAGTCAGCTCAGACTCCTCTAACAAAATGCCATAGATTGGGTGGCTTAAACAACAGATATTTATTTGTTCCTCATAGTTTTGGAGGCTGGCAAGTCCAGGATAAAGGTGCAAGCCAGTTCAGTCCCTGGTGAGAGCCCTGTTGCTGGCTTGCAGACTGCCACTTTCTCACGGTGTCCTCACATGTTGGAAAGAGAGACAGAGAGACAGCTCTGGTCTCTCTCTTCTTAGAAGGACACTAACCCCATCATGGGGGGTTCCCCATCCTCATGACCTCATCTAAACCTAGTCACCTCCCAAAGGCCCCACCTCCAAACATTAACACATTGGGAGTTAGGGCTTCACCATGTGAGTTTGGAGAAGACACATGCATTCAGGCTGTAACACCCTGTCTTTGAACTTGACTCCGTGGAGAGCCATTCTTGTCCTGGCCAACCATTAGATGCTGGGATTCCCTGTAGCTGTCATCTGGTTCCCACTCTTCTCATACTGTCCTCATCATTTATCAAGTGTTTTAGAAGAAATTGGCAGGATGATTAAAGAGTTAGATTAGATTTTAAGGACAAATACTTTCCTTGATATACAGCTTTCCTATGAGATTGTCAATATGTATTGAATTGAGTTGACACGTGTAGCTGTTTGACACGGAGATTGGTTGCTAGGGGAGATTGTAAAGATTATCTTTGAAGTAAACATACATCTGTGTGCAACATTGATTAAATTATTTTCATATTCCCTCTAAGCTGCACCCTAAGAAATTAAGTGGATGCCAAATAGTAACTTGAGTTTGATGGAGTTGAATCCACTGAATATAATGGAAATAAGAAGTTTCTGCCCAGCAGGAAACACAGTACAAAGAAGAAAGTCCTGGGTTCAGATTCTGCCCCTGCCACTCAGCAAGTCTGAGATTTTAGACAAAATACTAACATTGTTTTTCTATGACATGGAAAAAATATCTACCTCTTAGGGTTACTGTGAAGTTTAAATGAAATAATGTGTATTGCCTGGCACAGCACCTGGCCTGGCATATAAAGAGTGGTTTAATAAATGTTAATTCTCTTTTTCTCTCCACATTGTATTTTATAAATTTGATCCTTTCTGAACCCCACATTCAGTTCCACAAGTATTTATTGGATCCTCAGAATAGAAAAATGACAAAAACACAGCAGGGTCTTCCCTGGAATTGTCTGTAGTGTAATAAGAAAGAAAGATTTCATCAACAAACACCATACAGTATATATGTAGTATAGAGTTCTGCATGAGGTAGACACGTAGCACAAAAGAGAAGGTAATTTACGAGTATGTCAGAAGACAGACAAAATGGGGCGAGGGTGCAGTCGGCAGAAGATGTCTTGGCCTATGAGTTTTCCAGGCAAGTAAGGAAGGGTCGGGAACTTCAGGCAGAGAACAACCTGTTTGAAAGCAGAGGCATGAAATAGCACGAGAACAGTCTTCTGGGAACAGTTTGTTATTACTGCAGCATGATGTCAGGCTAGGGACAGGAGAGGCAGGCAGAGGCCAGGTGACGAGAGGCTTCGAACACAGTGTTAAGGAGTTTGCACGTTATCCTGTAGGCACTGGGGTGCTTTCTAGACATTTTTAATGGGTAGGAAGATAAGTGGTTAAGATTGTACATTGTTACGTAGGAGCAGAAAAGTAATGGCTTGGAGGGCACGAAATTAGAGGAAAGAAGAGTAAACAAGGGTTCTACAGTAATTCAAGGTAAGGGCCTAGCTAGTAATAATGGCAGTAGGAATGGGAACAAGTACATGAGAAAGATATTCAGGGGTAATATTTTCAAGACTTGATTTTTTTTTTTTTTTTAATGTGCGGATGGAGACATGACCTCCAGGTTTCCAGCTTAGGTGACCAAGTACGCAAGTGGGTGATCCTTTCCTGAAAGAATGTAGAGGAATGGTGGAAGAAGATGCAGGCTTCCTTTTTAAACATCTGGCTGTCTTGTGGGCAGTTGGTTAATAGCTCTGATGTGGGAAGGAGGAGACGGGCTGGAATGCATGTAAGGTCATGAGCTTGGAGGCTGTTCAGGGCATTTAAGAAATGAACAAAGAAACAGAATCTTAGGAAAGAAAATGGAGAAGTGAGGGCAGGGGCCATTAAGTGGAGTTTCATGGAAGAAGAGCATTATCAGGTACCACAGAAATGTCAAACAATACAAGGCCTGAAAAGGATTGGATTTGGCAGTGAAGAGCGTGCTGGTGATGCGCTAGTCCTGCTGGTTTACTAACCGCAATGAGTGATTTCACATCTGCAGACTGTTACTGTAATAGATAGTAACATGCTGCTAAGCATACCACCTGCGGAGCTGTGCCCAAGGTGCAGTGACCTCAGAGGCAGTCCTGCTGTCCCTCTGGGGAGCTGCAGAATCTGCGTGCTTTTAAAAGGGAAGATAGTGCCTTTTTGCCTGGGAACAGCCTGAGGTCACTTGGGGTCCTCTAAGTTCGTGTTTAAAGATGTTTCTCTCCGTAAACACTATTGTGGCATCAAAGGTTCTACCACAGGTAGGATGTCCCTGTAAATGCTTCCCAGATTCCTTGTTGCAGGAAGATGAATAGTGGTGCTGTTTTAGCAGTTAAGCCTGAAGAAATAGAACCAATGTCTTTAAATCTGTGCTGGGATTATCTCAAGTAATAGACCTGCTATTTGCATGTATCAGGAGTCTGTTGGGCACAAAATATTCAGTAGGCTGAAACCCGTGTGCAGTGGATTCTGGCTTTCAGCCATAATGCCCAACTTTTTATTTTTTATTTTATTTATTTACTTATTTATTTATTTAATTTGTTTAGCTGAGCCATCCTGCCACCTGTTGTCAGCTCAGCAGCAGCTCAGCTCGGGCCAGGACTCGAACCGCTATTGATCAAAGCTCACACTCTTGAGCGAGCTCTTAACCAACTGAGCCACTCGGCCGGCCCCATAATGCCCAACTTTTTTTTTTTTAAAGATTTTTATTGGGGAATTGGAGGGATGGGAACAGTGCTGGGGAGTTGGGGGAATGGGAACAGACAAGTTGCTGTCGTTTTGTTCTTCAATCTAGTTGTGGAGGATGTTGCTTCACTGGCCCAAGTTGGCACCATCATTGCGCTCTTCTCTGGCGAGGCAGATCAGTCGCCGGCTTCTGGACGGCCGCTCACTGCGGCTGCTGGCCGCTCACGCTGGCTGCTGGCCACACACGGTAGCCCATGGCAACCCACTGCCACAGGGACTGCAGCCCACGCCGTCGCCGGCGACTCATGGCAGCCCAGCTCCAGGTAGAGCTGTTGTTCAGCATCTCAGCTGCGGAGGGCAGTGTCACTGGCCCTCATATGTGGGATCCGAACCGGGGCCCTCTGGCATCCCAAGCGAGTTCTTAACCATCGCGCCACTCGGCCGGCCCCGCCCAACTTTTTAAAAATGTTTACAGCACAGGCAACTAGGTGACACCCTACTAAGAAGCAGGCGCTTAGAACAGATGGCATACTGTATAATGGAGTGCTTTTTCACCCTGTGGTGCTTTGGTGGGGGCGGGGCGCTGAGAAGGGAGTAGAGTGAGGAGGGGACAGTAGACTAAGCAGGAATAGTTCTGGGTCACCCAGAGTTTTAAGTGTTCTGATGGTGCTCTAACATATTTTTCTATTTAGTTTGCAAATCATTGGTGAAATGGAATAAAAATCACTAAACTAAGAGTCAGGCAACCTAGATTCCAGTTCCAGCTTGTTCTGTTGCCTATCTAGGTGATCTCTGTCATCATCAAAATTGAGGATTACACTAGGTGATCTTTAAAATAGCTTTAATGGTTTTACGGGTGTATACTTAACCTCCATACTCATCAAGTCATATACATTAAATATATACACCTTTTTGTCTGTCATTTGTACATCAATAAAGTGGTTTTAAAATAAATAACTAATCAGCCTTTGAACTCTTAAATTCTGGTTCTTCGGCCCTTTTCACTAAGCCTCAAAGGAGTCACTATACTGTTACTATTACTCTGCAGTAATGCTGGGGTTTTCAAAACTCAGTTAAATTTGCTCAATAGATTTTAGAAATAAGGCACTTCATTAAAGTTGCAGAATGCCATAGAGTTGGACTATACTGTCATCCTTAACCTGAGCTCCAGGAAGCTTCCACCATTGCTCACTCTGTGGGGACCCATGGTTATTATTGACTTTGAAATACTCTATATGAGCGTTTGTAACTTTCAAATTTCTTCCTAAAAGTACCATTTGTTGATGAAATTTGGGAATTTATTTTCATTTGATTTACTTTCTTTTCCCCCCAGCACACAGCATGCCTCTGCAATGCCATCATCGCTTTGCTGAAAGTTCCTCTTTCATTTCAGAGATATTTTTTCCAGAAACTGCAGTCTACCAGCATTAAGGTAATATGGGAAGAATACTAAGGCTAATATAGACTAAAAACCCAGTTATATCTGCAGATTAAGTAGGACATAGCTCTGCTTCAGGATCTTACCTTTGGTTTTCATAAAACTTATGCTTTTTAGTTGTAAGCCTTTCTTCCCTTGACCAGCTGGTTTGGTGAAAGGAATGGGACCCTGTCATCACCAAGTGCATTGGGACAGACATGTGGGTACTTGGAGCTCTGTCCCTTGGCTCCCTACTCCAGGAATAAGTTGAGTGGGTAGCCTGTGCAAGGATCTTGACTGAGCCCACCGCTGATCACCATCTTTGAATGAATCAGGTCTAGTAAACATCGCCAGTCCTAACTCCAAAGCACTTTTGTCTTTGAAAAACAGGTTTTGAGGAGCTGGCCAATGAGTAGAGTTAGTATTTTTAAATATTTAAGCCACCCAAGATTCAAAAGCTATTTTTGATTCAAAGAATGGAATTGTTGGGAAAGGGGGGGAGATTGTCACTTCTGAGAGATTTACTGGATCACCCTCTCAGTAAATGTCATCAGTGTAATTTGCATCCATTCAAATGCTTTCGGTTGCAGATAACAAAGCATGCTATTTCAAAATGGCCTGAATAATAAGGAAAATTGATTATCTAGGTAAGAAGCCCAAAGGTAGCAGGTTCCCAGAGTTGATTAGTTCAGTGACTCAAAAACATCAAAAAGACCCAATTTCTTCCATGTTTTCATTTAGCAAGACTTGAGCTTTCTGTAGTTGAAGTATATTTAAGATGTTTAGTATGTGTTTAAAGAAAAACTATACTAATGGGAGATTTAAAATGTCACTTAGTTCATTTGTAGAAACTGACTTTTATACCATGGTGACTTGTTTGTGTATGTAATCCTAGAATTTCAAGTTCATTTGCATTTGAATATAGTCAATTTAAAATTGCCTAAGACCAAAGAGACAGCAGCTGGACATGAAAGTTTACATAGTGTATTTATTTCCCTACTAGAATCGGTTCATTGTCAAAGTAATGCACCCCTCCCCCTGAAATTGGAAGAATAGTGGTTTCACTATTTTCTAATCCTGTTATTCTCAAACAGAACTGGGGTTCAGAGGTGGAAAAAAAAGCAAAATGGGTATTTAAAAGGAGGCATTAGGAATAAGGAACCCTTGACTTGAAAGGTAACATCTGTCTGGTTGTCTCAACACAGTCAGGTCATGCGTGCGTGTGTGCGTGCGTGTGTGCGTGTGTGTGTAACGTTTAACCTATAACCAACGATTAGCACAGATGTGTTTGTTGGAAGGATGCTTGTTCTTGGTTGTTGGCATTTATTTTAATGTTGGTGTTCCAGCTTGCTCTGTCACCATCCCCGCGGAACCCTGCCGAGCCCATCGCTGTCCAGAATAACCAGCAGCTGGCGCTGAAGGTAGAGGGAGTGGTTCAGCACGGCTCTAAACCAGGACTCTTTCGCAAAATTCAGTCGGTCTGTCTGAATGTTTCTTCCACGCTACAAAGTAAATCTGGACAAGACTATAAGGTAATTTAGAAAAGAGGCAAAATTGTAATGTGAATTTTATCAACTCATTGATGGAAATTTCCCAGTGTTTTTCATAGTTAAGCAGATAGCATTTCTTCCCAAGGAATCAGATGGACATGGGTTAAAAGCACATATTGGGGTTTGAGTGGCTGATAAACAACACTTCTATTTTCTCTGCCGGAACCAGTTGATAGACAAAGCATCCAGGCAGGCAGAGATCACACTGTGAGTGGTGTTACTGTTACAGCCATGGGGAAAGCTAGCGCAGGTGCCTGGCGGAAAGGACTTCCTAGCCCAGCCAGCCTCAGCCAGTACACACCAGAGCCTGCCCCGTAAAACTGATGGCAGAAAGGAACACCCTGAAGCTCACACAAGAAGGGAAAGAGAAGGTGCTTAGCTCCCCATGCCCAGGTCCCACCCTGAAACTTAACAGTCGGTCGGTCTCACCTCCCCCTGGAGACCAACACTGTTCATCTAATCCATGTGGAGGGGAACATCAGGAGTGGAGAAGAAGCATCTCCCTTGCTCCCCTGCCCCCAAAACAACACATCTATTTATTTTTCTCAACTTGAAGTAAATTTTAGCATTTTCAAATAAAAAGTAGCATTGGCATGCCCTGCAGATAACCCTACAGATAGAACCCTAGGAATTGACTGCTTTGTGAAATCATGAGGTGCGTTAACCAAAATCATATGTACTTTGTTAGCCAAAACTAAGGTTCTGAATCTGTGCCCATGAAACACCAACCTTCCAAATGTAGACTGTTTCTCTCTTTAGACATGCCACTTTCCAGCTCCTTGGTGGTTTATTCACAGTAAATGAAGCAAGGTGTCCAATACACAGTTGTATGAACAGAGTTGTTCAAATGCCCAAATTGGTTTCATCCACGTTTATTGTGGGCATGAACTGAGGTTCGTAGCAAGGAAAGGAGCAGTGGTAAAGATAGAAAAAGAGGGCATTTTATTCCCTTTGGTGGTTTTCGTCCAAAAAGCCAAGGGAAGGTTTGGTTTAAGCCGTCATTACTTTCTTTACTTTGGTAACTTACCCTCTCTGGCACTCTGCCTGCTCTGATAAGGCTCAGCCCTCATTCTCTTCCTCTCTCTTGGCTTTCGTGACACAAAGTGTGGTGCCTTCTGTTGCCACTCAGTAACTATTTGGTGACTGATGAAAAAAAATCACTTACTGTATTTAGAATACAGCTGTTAACGTTTGCGTGACCTCCGTTGTCACAAGATCATAATGAGAATTTACATACTTGTCTGTGTCTGCAGCTCTCTCCTCCCTTGGAATTTAAAAGAGCAGTAACCATGATTCTCTTCGTTCCTTGCCTATAATAGCCCCTATTAAGAAAAAAACCATTTAAACTGAGAAGTACTGGTCATCTGCTTACTGACTTACCTCTTGAGACGCATTGACTAAAGTCAGGAAGCTGGTCTAATGAGCCATGTTGTCACAGCTGCTCTGTAATGTGACTTGCAGACGCCTAGTTTGCAACTTAAAGTGCATCATCCATTCAGAGGGATCGGGTCCTTTTCTGCCTCTTAAGGAAGTTCTTGTTTGATAGGCATGTCTTTAGGGAAATAAAAACCCTGCAAAAGTTGAATGTGCAAACAAAAAAACAAGAAAAGACCTATAGATAATTCCAAGATCCTGAATTGGTTGGTGACTTCATTTCATTAATGTTATAGGTAAATGACTCTGGGAAACTGACCTCATGTTAACTGCTTATTGAGACAAAGCTTCAGGGCACTTTATATAATTAATTATACAACAGAAACACACACAAACGTAGATCAATCTGGTCAAATATTCATTGAGATTACCTCTATATGCATTCTCAGAATAATACTTCATTTTGGGTAGAGGTAAGGCGCCAGCAGGTGTACCCTTTGTTCTTGGAAGAACAGAGTGCCTGGCTAGATAAATGAATGAACCCACAATCTGTGTTTTACAGTATATGTGATTATTAAGGGAGCATGTGCAAGTTCTAAAGTTAATTCTAAAGTTAATATTGAGGGAGGAATCACTGTATTAAGACACACAAAATCAGATTAGTGAGGAGGGAAAAACCTAACTTATATGCACTTAGTGTTGTGTTCCTTTTCAGTCTCTTGGATTTTAAACTCCCTGAAACAGGTGGCTGCACCCTGTTTCTTCAGAATTCTCTTCAGAGTACAGAAGGATGGGGGTTGGGTAAGCAAATGTAGGGGAGGAAAGATTTCTCTTCCACCGTCTTAGAGTCTCCAGCTGGGCCCAAGATTAAACTGACATTAAGGCAGATTAACAGAAGGGCATACAAGTGTTACGAAAATCTTACATGTCAATGGAAGTCTTCACAAGAGAATAAAGACCCGAAGAAGTGACCAGAGCAAAATGCTTATATACCTTTTAGACACAGAAACAATAGATTTGTGATGAAATGACAAGACAAAGGGGTTTGGGCTCAGGGCAGTAAATTATGGGGAAGTGAGAAGGAGATCTGTCAGGGCAGTGGGTGGGACTAGTGGAATACAAGTGTTATTTTAGTAGGTTGGTTTGTACAGAACATTTCAGCATCGATTCCCAGTCTCTGGTGATAGCATGTTCTTCTCTTCCTGGTATAGGGAAGCCACCTTTCTCATGGGAAATTTCACGACCTGTTTTTGATAAAAAGGCAGGTCAGAGAGCCTATTATTTCTTAAGTACCGTTAGCTCAAAATAATCAGTATGCCAAAGCAGCATGTTCTGGGGTGGCATGTCCTGAACTCCTTTACTAGGAAGAAAGGCCAGCATATGAAGGGGATGAGAAAGGCTCTGGAGTTCATTCTGCTTGAGGTTAGTGAGGAGGCAGCATTACTTCATAACTAAGGGTGTAGGCTGTGGAGTTAGCCTGCCTAGGTTCAGATGCCTGCTCTACCACTCATTAGCTGTGCAACCTAGGAGAAATTACTTAACCTCTCTGTTTTCTCATCTATAAAGGAAGGATAATAACGGTACCTACCTGTTGGTTGTTTGCGTGTATTACAAGTACATAAGCACTTAGGCAGGGCCTAGCTCATAGTAAGCACTCAATAAATGTTAGCTGTTGTTATTATTTAACAATTCTTTTATTCCAGATACCCATTGACAATATGACCAATGAGATGGAGCAGAGGGTTGAGCCTCATAATGATTACTTTAGTACTCAATTTCTGTTGAACTTTGCCATCCTTGGAACACACAACATTACAGTGGAATCGTCAGTGAAAGACGCCAATGGTATCGTATGGAGGACTGGTCCCAGAACTACCATATTTGTCAAATCCCTGGAGGACCCTTATTCGCAGCAAATTCGCCTACAGCAGCAGCAAGCCCAGCAACCATTACAACAGCAGCAGCAGCGAAACGCCTACACGCGCTTTTAGCCACACGACGAATGCTCTACAGACTTGACAGGGATTGATCAAATTGTCAAAAATAATTTGCTTTTTCATACGATTCAGATACAAAAGTTATAATGTGGAGTCCATTTACTCATTGGTTTCTGCAGTGTAATACTCTGAAAAATGATTTTTTTCTTAAAAACTTCATTTGAGAAATAATTGGGTTCCTAACCAGAAATATTTTTTTCCTTGTTTCTTTAACCAAGTTCTTTATCTCATATTTAACATTTTCATTTTTTTGTTACTATTTTTACTGTTGCTGAGCCTTTTCTTTTTCTTTCAAGAAAAGTCACATATTGGGATCACTGAATTCGTGAATTTGACTGTTTCTCTACCTAAATGTATCATTTACTGCTGACACACACCTCTGATTCTGAGCTATTCTTTGGAAAGCTCTGACCAGTAGGTGCAGGGTTCACCCATGTAGTAGGAACGGAGCCCTCCCATAGATGGACCTGGAAGTGTCCCCTGACACGTCTGTCTTCTGAATTGAGAGCAGGCAGTCTGACAGAACTGAAACATCCTGCTATATTATTTCAACCACCTACCTATCTGTTCTGTGCTAAAGCAATCTTAATTTATTGTTTTAGTATTTAATTGACCCGAAGAGCAGCTAACAATTACATAGAAAGATTGGAGATTAACAGTTTGGTTTTTTCTAATGTGTGTGATTGTATATACATTGTACATTGTTTCAAAGAGTGAAAAAAATCACTCACTTTTAATATCTTAATGTGTTAAGGTAGAAGGGTAGCTCTTGTCCTTTGATTAGTTTAGTTTCTTCTTGGCGAGTTCTGTAATGCTGGACTTGATTGTCCTTAAAGAACAGTCTCTTTATAACACAACCTCAATTAGTTGGGATGCTCAGGGAATAGAAGTTTTCTGGTTAGCCAGGAAACCCCTTTTTTTCAATACTGGTTGAAAACCATTATAAAATCTAATAATAATATACTTTCTTAACACAGTGTACAAGACATAATTTAACTGTTCTTTCTTGGTTTCCGGTCAGTCAGTGCTTCAGGGTCATGGTTTGTAAACACCAGGAGTCACAGGATTGTAGATATTAACGTGGACACTTGGGCTGGAAGCAGTTCCTAACGTGAAGCAGGCACATTCCTTGGAAGTTTCTTTTTTAAATAAATCTCTCAATTTCATTGCTTATGTTTTGCTTTTTCTCTTTAAAGTTGACATTGGCTCAGAAGAAAGACAGAATTTAAAGAAAAAAGTGAGATTTTTTTTTTTTTCTTACCGTATGGCCTCTGGGTGAGAAGTGATTGATAGCTCAGGTCCTCTAAGATCGCTTGGCTTCATGAGCTCTTCTCCCACACAGCACGTTTCACTGCCAGTAGCCAGATCACTGTCCACTGTGATGACATCCCTTTAGACGTGGCCCGCTTGTACCCAGTGCCTGATGTACACAGTCGTGACAGCGCCTGGGGACAAGCTTTAGGAGGAACAGCCAGAGTGGTGTGGAGGACATGTGCAGGGCCCGTGTCCTTCCACCAGGTGTGGAGAGAGCTGAGTCGGAAAGAATGGGTTCCACTTTGGGCTGTGATGAATTAGCTCTGTGACCTGGGGCAAGTCAGTTTATCTCTGTAGACTTTAGTTTTCTTGTCTATAAAATGACTGAATTAGACTGGCTGGCTTGCCTCCAGTCTAGAGTTTGTTATCAGCTGAGTGGTTGAGAGCCTAAAGAATAAATAAATACAATAAGGTTCTTAAATGGGGAAAAACCTTTTTTCCCCCCATTAAATGGCTCTTTTCAGAAGGGAATTTTACCATGTCAATTTCAGGTGTCGGGTACTGTTTCAAGGCAGAATTCTCTAGAAATGAAGCAAATCTTGCAAGTCACCAATTCCCCCAATTCCCTTTGAGACCTTCCCAAATTTTACGTTCTGAAAAGATTGGTTTTTGATAGCTCTAGTTATAAACTTGTTGATTTGGTATACTATAGGGCCCATGGCACAAACTTGGAATTATTAAAATAAAAACATCCAAATAGTTCAGAGTATGAAAATAACTTTGTAAAGCAAAAATAAGCTGTTCGTTTCAGTATGCCCACTAGACCCAGTATTGGGACACTGTCTAATGTTATGTTTGGTAGAATATCTACTGCATTTTTGGCATCAGCTGTTCAACAATTATTTGTGGAGCAAGGAAACTTTATAATTTAACACAATATTAATGAATGAAAAGAAAAAGAAATACTCAAGGAACTATGCAGAAAAGAAAAATATACACATACTGATTGAAGTCATCATGTTCCCTGAACTTAGAAATATGGATAATAAAGGACCACTGGCTGATTCTAGGAAGACAGAAGTGATTTTTCTCAGTGTGTAGTGACTTTGCCCTATAACCTGATGGCTAAGAGTACAGCCTCTGGAGCCGCACTGCCCTGGTCCACATCCTCACTGTCTAACTTGGTGACCTTGAAGAAGCTACTTGGTCTTTCTATGGCTCAATTTCCTGATTCCTAAAATTGGGAAGCATAATAGTGCCTCATGGGGTAGGTGTGAGGATTAAGTGAGTTAATACAGAATTACTACATGTAAAGCACTTAGAACCTGCCTACCACGTAGAAGGTAGGCGTATAAGTGTTTGCTATCATTATCATCCTCATTAGTCTTTCACTGTGTTAGATCAGTTCTTAATCTTAGCATTTCATTTATTCACAATAAAAGGTACCCTTTCTGTGCTACTAAACACATTGAAACTATATTCCATTTGGGTACATTGAGTAATAGCAAAGTAACTTACGTTGACGTAAACAAAACGGAATTTCTACAGTGCTGTAAATCCTATTTAATTAAAATAGTTAAAGACAAACATACAAAGAAAATTGTGAAAATACTTTCTAAAGCTACTGATTGCCATCGAGGGTGATACCAGTAGGATATTGACTATTTAGAAGTTAAAAGGTACTATTATATTCTAGTTTAAGAGATTTTGTAATATGACCTTCCTAGCTCAAAACAACCAACGTGTTGTAATTTGCAACTGGAGGCTGTATGTCACTTTTTACATTAAGGTACGACTCAAAAGAAGAACAAAGGATTCCAGAGATGTCGGTTTACCTTCTATTTGTAAAACTCACTTGCCATGGGTCCTTGGATAGGTCCCTTGATCTTTCTGTACCAATATCTGCTGGCGGTATTGAGAATAAGATGACCCTGCCACCAGGTATGTAGAGTATATGCAATGCTGCCCAATAGAACTTTCTGTGATGATGGAAATGTTTTAAGTCTGCTATCCAATATAGCCACTAGCCACATATAGCTATTGAGTATCAAAATATCAGGGGTGCCAAAAAAAATGTATACAAGCAGACACTTTGGTCACAGTTGCTCAGGCAGCAGTTCACCGTCATCAGAAGTGTCTGGACGCTGATGGTAACCACTTTGAGCACCTCTTGTAATTGCAGAAGTCAAACATGACTTGTAGTCATCTTTTGTTACCGGTATATATCGAGCATTACAATTTTAATAGTTTTTCCCTTTCTTAAAACGTGTAGACATTTTTTTCCCACGCCCTGTATGGCTAGTGCGACTGAATCTTTTATTTACTTTTAATTCAGTTAAATTTAAATAGACTCGTGGCAACTGCCTGTAGAATTCAACAGTGCAAGAGTGAGAAGTAAAGAAATAAGATTCACTATTACGTTAGGACCTAGAAAACTTGTAAGGGGTCTACATTGGAATTCTTTGGTGCACCAAAGATTTCACACGGAAGAGTATAAATAAAAAGGTGTGTGGCGTTTGTGTGTTTGCTTCGCATCTGGTGATACACGACTGTGTTGCTCAACCAAACACCCTACCCCATTCTTTCTATAATGCACCCTTGGATTTAGCCTTTATCACTCACCAACATTAAAAGTATGATGGGATGTATTGAGAAGTCCCAAAATTGGTTTAGCTTTCCTACCAACAGCACTATAGGAAGTTATGGTCTTCTTTCCATTTCTTGCCCAAGAACACAAAGCCTTTTTATCATGGGCTGTGTATTTTATTGGCCTGGCTGGAACTAGTCCATTATCCTGTGGTACGTAGTCTCAAGTGCTCATCCTATGAGCAATTTAATTTATAATTATAATTGGTTATTTAAACAGAGTGAGTCATGTTTGTTTTTTTTAAATGACGTTCCAAGACTTGGAGCCATGGATTTCCACATTCTAATGGAAGAATGTTAACTGTTACAAATTAACTTTTTTCAAACCTACTACAGTTACAAAACATTTTTCAGTCTGTACCTTTTCCCTTACCCTTCTGCTTATTTGCAGATCTCTCCCAGAGCACTTCTCTCTTGCACAGTCAAGTTTATTGTGCAATAATTGTCCTCTTTGCTTATTATTTAGGCCTGGTTAAAGATTGAAACTTGGTGAAATGAGTTTGGAGATTGTCTTCCTTACAGATCATGTCTGCAGGTGTAGTTTTTGTTTCGTGATACCTAGCTGGCAAACGAAAACCTATTTTTGTTTCCAGGTAATTTTTTAAGTAAAAGTATAAGGGTGAGATAATATCAAATGAATTATAACAGGAAAATGAACATCTACCTGATATCCTCAAAAGTCAGAGTGAGTTAAAGAAAATCAGGTAGTACACAGAGAAGAAATATTCTCTAGTTGACCTTGAGGTTTTCTCGGGGGGATTTTGTGGATTTTGATGAGTTTAATTGTGGCTGTGGATCAAAAATGTTTAAATAGAGGACTAGGACAAATACAATAGAACTGAATTAGACTGAAGAATTATGAAAAGATATGAATGCCAAGTTTTCCTATTTCCCAGCACCATGGAAGGTGAAAGTAGGCTGTGCTGCCTCAAGAGTTCCATCCTGCCATTGGAAACAGAGGAGCTAATGATGCTCTTTGTTTATGTGTCATCTCACCCTGAGGAAGTGAGCAAAGTGATAGCAAATTGTTAACACTGGTATCCCCCACCTTGCCTTTCCTTCCCTGTCCTCACCAGCCAGCAGAGACTGACAGCAGGTGTCAGGAGGGTCAGCTCTGAAGTACCCCCCACATGACAGAAATACATGAAAAGCCTACTATAGAACTACAAGTGGGGGGAGGGTGTTTTCTGGTGTGAGTCCACACCATGCTGGTTCCTGAGCTGGGAGTGGGAACTGCAAAAGCAAACTGACAGGGAGAGAGCCCTCATTGGACAGAAAAAGACCTTTCTTTTAAGAGAATGTGGAGAGGGCTTTATAAAAGCTGTTCACAGAGCACAACCGATGCCATGTCTGAAATTCTAATATTTAATACCTCCCCTTGTATGTAGCCGCTAGGACAGGCTCTTAGGTATCTAGAAAACTGGCCATCATTTGGCATTTTCTCCTTTTGCAGCGCTTGGAATGCAAGTGTCCTGCATTCTCAGAGAGCCTCTTCTTGACATAATCAGAGACAATTGGGTACCTATGACTTGGAAGCCAAAAAGGAACAGAAGAACCTTTGGAAAAAAAAGGTACACCCTTAAAGTGTAGTCAATATTTAGCCTCAAGGAGATAGGAGCTTACACTCGAAGTAAATATTGCCTCATGTTGCAAAACTGCTGCTTCTGGCCAGGCTCTTGGACGACATGAACCCCTCAATGTCACATTTCAAGGTATCAGAGCATGAGGGAGGAATGACTGTAATCATGGAATCACTTTCGCCACATCAGAGCTATCTGACTTAGTGTTACAGTATCCCCCAAGATGCTCACAAGCATATTAGCCCTGGCTAGGATCTTCTCTAGTGAGGGCATCTGGAACCTCCTTGAGGGCCCTTGACACAGAAGAGGGCCCGTGAGTCTGTCCTAAACTCTCCCTCCCGCTGGCCCCTCCCTCATGTGGCTGACCAGGAGTAGCTGATGGAAAGCATTTTTCCTTCATCCTGGCACTGAAGGTAACTCAGATGAAATCACAGGGCACTCTAGCTCAGTCAGCAACATTTGTCTGAGCAGGCATTTCCCGGATCTCCTCCAAAAGCCCAGCCAACAAGGACATAAACAATTTTGAAAACAGGTGACCTTTTATTTACCAGATGTTTATTGGACACGTAGGGGGCACCAGAAACTGGGAATACAATGGCAGACAAGCTCCTTGGGTTCATGGCTCTGCCACTCCTTGTTTTTGTACAGACCATGGGAGGAAGGAAGTCTATGAGAAACCCACCCTGGCCTTGA